TTGCCTGCCACCACCAGAGCAGGTGATCCGGAGGGTTTCTCCTGGGTTCGCTGACATGGAGGGCGGCTGAGTCACTGCTGCCTGGACCAGGGAACCTGGAGAGGGAGAGGAGAGAGGGGAGAAGATGGAGGTCAGCCCGTGCCCCACCAGCACAGCCCTCCCCGGGCAGCAGGACAGGGCCCCTGTGCCCAATGGCGATGACATCATGGCAAGGACCCAGAGCTCCGCACACAGAGCTGAAGGCAAAGCATGAAGGTCTTGCGTGGAGAACTGGTGCCAGGAAAAGGAAGGGGAATGCTCGAGTCAGCGCCACCATCATGGTGACGAGCATTGCTGCTGTCTAAGCCACCACAGTAATAGACAGCCTCGTCCTCAGCTTGGACCCCAGTGATGGTTAACGTGCCCGTGGAGCCAGACGCAGAACTGGAGAATCACGAAGGGATGTCCGAGGGTCTCCTGTTGTTGTTATAGATCACAGTGGCAGGGGCAGTGCCAGGGACCTTCTGCTGGTACCAGCCAACAGCATTGCTGGTTCTCCCAGAGCAGATTTACGTGGTTTGCCCCAGGGACATGGAGAATGGGGGCAGCTGAGCCAGACCCATATGAGAGCAATGGCTGAGGCAAACATTCGCCCTACCCAGCCACAGCGCCTGAGGATCCCTGGGGCTGGCAGACCCTCATGCACCCAGCCCCGCACACCCACAGCACCTGCAATGCCACAGGCCTCTGGGCAACGCTCAGCCTGGGGGAGCAGAAAGACGGCAAAGCTTTTCCAAGGGTCCTCCGCAGGCTCCAGCTCCTAATGCTCTGCAAGGTCCTCTGACCCTCATGTGGATATTGGACAGGGGGGTACAAGCCCAGCCAGGGCCTCTCCAGCACCAGGGCCACAACACTGGAGATGTAGTCACAGCCCTGAGACACAGGGCACATGGGGAAGGGTACTGAGAGGGCAAAGGAAAAACTAGAAAGCTGGTGAGAGGGGCCTGCCTGGCTGAGATGAAGGAGATAAAATGAACTTCTTTGGCACTCAAAGTCTCGCTTGCCTGTGACTGGGTATCACCATGAGACCAGCACTGCTGCCATAGTCACAACCACAGTAATAGACAGCCTCGTCCTCGGCTTGGACCCCAGTGATGGTTAACGTGCCCGTGGTGCCAGACGCAGAACCGGAGAATCGCGAAGGGATGCCCGAGGGTCTGTTGGTGTTACTGTAGATCACAGTGACAGGGCCCGTGCCAGGGACCTTCTGCTGGTCCCAGCCAACACCATAGCCGCTGTAAAACCCAGAGCAGGTGATCTGGACGGTTTGTCCCGGGTTCGCTGACACGGGGGGCGGCTGAGTCAGCGCTGCCTGGACCAGGGAACCTGGAGAGGGAGAGGAGAGAGGGGAGAAGACGGGGGTCAGCCCGTGCCCCACCAGCACAGCCCTCCCCGGGCAGCAGCATGGGGCCCTTGTGCCCAAAGGCCCTGATACCACAGAGAGACACACAGCCCCACAGGCAGCACTGAAGACTAGAGCCCCATGGATCTGCACGGAGAGCTGGCAGCAGTGGGGAAGTGGAACACCACCCTCTCAGGGAAAGGGACCAGGTCATGGCTACAGAAAGCTTTGGGAAGCTGAGCCCAACCTGGCCCAGAGCAATCTAGCACAGGCAGTTGCTGCAGCAGCAGGGATCTGGGGCTGGAAAAAGCAAAAGGCAGCAGGGGGGGCAGCCCCATCCCTTTTCCAGGGACAGGGAAAAGGAACCCCCAGCCCCAGAGCCACTTCCTGTGCCTTGGGGCATGGATGTGAGGACATTCACAGCCATATCCTTGGACAGGGGACAGGAGCCTGCTTCAGCTCCACAACCACAACTCTACTTGGCCAGGAAGTAAAAAGGCTGAAAATCTTCCTCATCAATGCGGAGGTCTGTGTCTCACTTGCACATTACTCAGTGACTCCATCACCGAGATCAGCACTGCTGCTGTCAAAGCCAGCACAGTAATAGACAGCCTCATCCTCGGCTTGGACCCCAGTGATGGTTAATGTGCCCGTGGAGCCAGATACAGAGCCGGAGAAACGCGAAGGGATGCCCGAGGGTCTCTTGCTGCTCTCATAGATCACAGTAACAGAGGCACTGCCAGGTTTCTGCTCACACCAGCCATAATAACCGCTGCTACCCCCGGAGCAGGTGATCCGGACGGTTTCTCCCGGGTTCGCTGACACGGAGGACGGCTGAGTCAGCGCTGCCTGGACCAGGGAACCTGGAGAGGGAGAGGAGAGAGGGGAGAAGATGGGGGTCAGCCCGTGCCCCACCAGCACAGCCCTCCCCGGGCAGCAGGATGGGGAATGCCACAGACAGAGGAGAATGGATGCAACCACAGTCACAGGCAAATTTGGGGAGCTGAGCCCAGCACAACACCTCCCCGCA